TATATATATATATATAAATATGTATATATATACGGTAGAGCGATGGCTCAACCGAAAATTGTTGATTTCACAAGGCGTACTTAATTTTATTACCGACTACTCTCAATACTTTGTTTATTAATATGAAACCAATACGTTTCAGCTTAAAGACGTCAATACAGCTTTATTAGACCGATATCTAAAGTGATAGCTCTTGCACCACAAATATGTTGCTACTTGAGAATAGGCCTTTCGCCACAGTTACAAATTATATTGTGTCACGACAATCCGCCATGTTGACATATTTGCTGATTGGCCACTTGAGATATTCACGCGATGTTTGTGCCCTTGTGAGTATATACTAGTAGATAAATGTTCAATCTTTTGTAGCTACGGGGTACCGTGTTTCTCGGGGGCAGCTTTGGCAGACGGTGCTTATAGTTTACTATACAAGTTCTGTGTTTTAACGATAGGGATGTGACTTGTTACAACATGCACTATCTCGGCTGTGTTGTTGCTGGGTAAAGTATATAGAAAAGGTATCATAAAGAACAACCTATTTTACGAAAGGATCACTGTATAGCCGTGAAAGATCAGTGTCAGTATGATATCAATACCGTAAATCTGCTATGTAGTGGTATAATAACAGAGATGTTCCTACATATAGAAAGAAAATGTTTATAAACTTTGTAGCGACCAGTCACTCAAAGAAAAGCTAAACACAACTTTGTCTTTATAAGCGAATGTTGATAACATCCCAAAGTTTATTGACCGACAGACTATATTAAGTTTCATAGTTAGATACGATACTGTAAAATGGGCAGTCATATGGATGCACTAGTTACAATATCGTACACAACACGTACATCCCTAATTATAGTCCTATCCACACTGGAACAAACAAAAACAACTCGCTTAGAGTAAATGCTTGTTGTCGAGAACTGTACGCGACTTTTAAAACTAATTGTCACCGTTATAATATTTAAATCCAGTCGTATAAACATATGTATACAGCTCTAAATTTACGTACTCATTGTCTTAATACGAATGTGGATATGTGCCGCTTTCTAATAACTACTTTAGATGATTGAACCGATGGAGTAAACAAAGCATACGGTGTACTTTCAGACACATCTAGTTTTGACACATAGCTGTCGTTAGATCGTAATATTTTAGACTGACTGAAGGCAAGATTTCAAGGTACTATTTTGAATACACGATGGTGTGTTGTATACTACAGATCATGTGTCTATCCCATACGAACTTATTGGTAGTTCTACGTATCTTCGTCTCATGGCGATCGTTTGATATCATATCTCAAAGTAGGATTTAGGAGCTTTCCAACCACTGATTTCAATTTATCGTAGATATAGTGAATTTGACCCGCGCAATTACATACTAAACTGCACATAGTCCACTCAACACGAAAGCGAATCGAAAGCAAATAAATAAAAAAACAAATACAATACATAATAGGCCTAAATATGTGGTCTCTCGGACCAGATTCACAATCCATATTATATAAAATAATGGCTGCCAAAGTAAATCCAGTTTCCTTCGTTAGGTTAAGAACCCTAATCAGGTTTACCTTCCAGGACCAGGCCACGAGAGACCACGTTTTCCTGACTAAATCATTTATGTATATATTCTGGAATTCATATAAAGAAAAGCAGTTCTTCCAAAACTAAGTTTATAGTGGTTATTAGGTTATGGGCCTCGATTAAACTTTCCTACTATGACACATAACGGGTTTAAGGAGCGATAAAAAATGACGCTTAAACTCCACAGTGTCACGCTACCCTCATACCGACCATGCGCGCAAGTACCTTTCTTGCTGAACATCAAGAGGACAGCACAGTCTCTGCTTGTCCGGACTTTATCCGATGAACTCGTTGAAATTCTCAAATAAGGACTCCATATTGTTCCACCTTGACTCCTTCTTGCCATCTTTTCCAGGGCAAACGATCCAATTCATTAATCAATAATATCTCCGTGACTTTGAACGCGATGCAGATGTACACATGTGTACATCGACTACCTGCGGTACCAAGCGCTAACAGATAGCCCAAAACCATAATCTTATCTTTACTGATGACTTATTATCGGTATATTCCTCAGTGGTCTTGACCAGGATCAGTAGAACAAATTCGCCATTGTTGGTTTAGTCGTGACATCAAGACCACCCCTCGAGACATCGGAACACACCAAGCCTGACTTTCTCCATGAACCAAAAGTAGCCGCTCTGCGCCCTTCCCGTGAAGCCCACAGGGGATGTAGTCAAAACCAAGTAACGCTTAGTGAAGAGTGTCAAGTCTGAAAAAGTGAACTTAGTCAGAAGTGCCGTTATGAGCGGTGCGTTTGATGTATTTATTGATCACGTGCCTATGTGGGACGATATTTTCTCTAACAACGGGTGATTGTGAAAATACCCGTATCTATGGTTTTTGTCTCCTAGAAATCCTTCTCTCTCACTAAATCTTCTATTCCACTATCTGGTCACGTCTGATCCCATAAGTAGAGTATAGAGAGTAGCGGAAATATACATGTCAAGGGATACAATAGACCTCTTCTCAAGTACGGTTATCTCAGCTAGGAAAAGTCCTTCGCCTGAGAGAGACGCAGGTTTTCTACTGAAGTATTTCTCACACACGCGGTGTCCCGTATAACTTACCGATTCTAACGCTAATCTTTCTGATTACTCTAATATCAGGAATATTCGAATTCTAATCCCAAAACTCAATATTTGGTAATTCTGAGGTTTTGGAATTTGATTGGCTTTTGATAATCTGGTCCCTAGATGCCACAGTCCCCCAACTTTTTGCATCTTAGCCTGCGTAGGAGTAGAAAGTGACATCATACGGTACGAGATTATCTAGAGGTTGGTGTTTTTGTACAGGGAAAACTTGTCCCTTAGGCATATGATGAAAAACCTGCCACCATTATATATTCTTACATATCACCTATTAATAAAATTTATACTATGACGAGAGTTCTTTACCAAGCTCGTCGCAGTCAGTCTTGACCGGTGCTCTCGGTTGATCTCAACTTGGCATTGGAAAACGCATCTCAATGGTGGCTATACGGCCGAGTGTTTGGTCCTTATCCCTATGGTGTGTGGGCGGAGCATGCTTCAAGGCGAGAAATGCGGGAGTGTCCCTTGGTATCAGTAAGACTTGCTTAGGTCCCCCGCCTTGTGCGCTTTCTGCTGCTCGCTGATGCTGGCTTCTTTTGCCTTGACTGCCTTCATTTGCGCCAGTGCGTTGACGGTATAGTGTAAGGACATCAGCGTTTGTAATGTCGGATTCATGCGTCCAGGTACGCTCCCCATTTGTCCAATGTAGTAGATACTCCTGGGATCCATCACCTTGGATGGACGGCCTGTCGTCGACTATTGAGAAGAACTGAGTCTCCTCGGTTGGTTGTACGTGACTATTAGAAGTAAATGCTTCCAGAACATTAGCCCTTTTTACGAGTCCAATTAGCTCATCACTGGCCGAGTCAGGATATTCGGGGGATTTAGTCCCATCAAGTTTACAGACAAAATACCCGTTGTCCTCCCTGCATACTATTCTGTATGGTCCGCCATATGGTACAGTCATCCTGTTCATTTCACTTTGATAGTGGACCTATGACAATGTTTCCTTCCTGGAAGTGTACATTTTTCTTTTGGTATTTTTGGTCGTATGTTGCGCGCATCTTCGCTTGATATTGCGCAACGTTGCTCTCTAGTTGTGGCCTAATGGCTTCTTCTAGATGCTACAGTCGCTCTTCCCAAGATACTGTTGTACAGTGTGCGTTTACTGGGGTGTTGTAGTCCGTGAGTTGATTATGTCTGCGACCAAAGTACACATTTAATCGTGGTGACATGTGTCTTCTTGATGTACGGAGATTGTGGCCCATCTGTACGAAAGGAAGTCGAGAACACCATTTACCTGGGTTTTGCACAACGTATTTTCGTTACAGTGGAATGAGGTCCTTGTGTAATCTTTCGTTCGCGCCTAAGACATTAGGTTGGTACGGTCGAGAGACTAGGTGTTGTGTCGGCGCCTGTTCAACAACTTTTGAAAGTATGTTGTTAACATATTCAGTGCCTTGGTCAGTCTGTAGGATTTGTGGGAACGCATGTTCACACATGATTGGTACCAGCGTACGCGCTGTCGTAGTGGACGTAGTATGGTATATGATGAGTGTACATCTAGCCATACTAACACATATGTGTGTCCTCTGTTAAGTCCAATAGAGGCCCAATAGTGTCCACTTGGACTCTGTCGTCTGGAAATACACTGTGATTGATTGTAAGAGATGGAATCCCTTCTTGTATGCCTTATTTTTGAGACATGGTACGCATCCTTCGATGAACTTGTGTACATGTTTTTGAATTTGTGGCCAATCATGTCCTTCTGTTTGCAACTTGTTTACCGCTTCCTCGGGAGTGCAATGTCTTAAGTTGTTGACACGTGTCCCGTATTCTGTTACATGTGGCTCATCTCCAGATGGAACTGGATGTGATGCTGCAACATGTATGGCAGATTGTTCCCGCATTGAGTCAAAGTATGGAGACTTCACCCCTATCTTTGCTACTAATGTGACACCCCATGGGGTCTTGCCACATGCTTTCGTGCCTTCTTTGAGAACATATTGTTTGTGTTTTCCACTAGCATCGGGACCACTTCTAGTAAAGACAATTTTCGAACCACGTTGCATTGGGGTAGTATGATACACATATCGTGATGCTTGCTGGTTGCCTTTTCAATGATTTTTTCAAGGACATCCGGTATGAGTTCCCATGGTGGGTTCGCCCATGCATTCACTTCCTGCGCTCACTTCTGTAGAAGCGCATTCTGTTCTTTGGTGTAGCATTTATCGGTGTGTGCATTGTGTGCCGATACAAACAGATCTACTGTGAACTTCCCAAACCGTCTTTCAGTTTCTTTGTAAAATCCGAGATGTAACTTCTGATATGGTTCAGTTATGGGCATGTTAGTCTCCAAGGTTAGGTACTCTTGGCTGTTAGGTGTTGTTTTGTTCGCGTTTTTTAATACCTCGGATGTTTTAGTATCAAACGTGTCTTCGTGTAGACGTGACAACAAATCTGCCATCTGGTTGTCCTTGCTGGGACGTGTATGATGGAGAAATGGTGGTGGGATGTTTTCGCTATTCATTTGGCTAGTATTCGGCGTAACGTCTGTTGACTGTTCATTTGCGTGATCGCTTTATGATCTGTCCACAGTGTTCTGTCCCCTCCTTTGATGTATTTGGAGAAATGTTCCAGGCTGTATACCAGTGCTAGTAGCTTCTTAGTATTTGTGCCATAGCGTTGTTGTGCTGGATTCAAGCCTTTGAAAAAGTAGAGAATATCTCTCCTAACCCCATCGATGACTTGAAATAAGCATCGTCCTATGCCATAGTCACTAGCATCATTCATGACTTGAAACGATACCCTATCATCAGGGTATGCTGGTGTCGACGAATATGCGATGGCTTCTTTGAATTCTTCCCACTTCTTTTTGAGTTCCAGAGTCCAAAGCATGCGGTTCATTTTCTCTTTTATTAGGTTCCGGAAGTGTTAATTGTGTGGACAAAGTTGGGGACATGGTCACGCATATAATTCGCGAGTCCCACCGCTTTGTGTAAATCTCTTTTTGTTCTGGGTTGTGACCAGTCCATCATCCCTTTTTGTTTCTCAGGATCCGCTTTGAGTTTTTGTGTGGTGACTTTCACCCCTAGGATGTTGACCACTTTGACCGCGAAGGCACACATGTTGTGATCGAGTCGGAAGTTTGCTCCATTCAGTCGCTTGATTACTTCACAAACTGTCTTGCGGTGTTCCTCTTAAATAAGACTCGCACTGACTATGTCATCTACAAAAACTTGCACACCTTTGATGTCTATGAGCAAGTTTGTCATGACTCGTTGGAATTGTGCTGTGAGTGAGCGTAGGCTAAACGGCGCTGACTTGAATGAGTATTGCGCTCCTCTCCACGAGAACGTGAAGAAGTGCTGGCCTGCTTCGTCTACTAGGAAATGGTGGAACTATCATGTGAGATCTAACTTTGAGAAGAATTGTGCTCCTTATAGGCTGTGTATTACTTCCTTTACTATTGATAGCACGAGTTTATCTTGTTCATATTGGTAGTTGATCTCTCGTAAGTCTAAAAATGTTCTTAATTTCTTGAGAAGACCTGTTTGGTCATATTCAGCTGTTGATAGCAATGGTAGGTTCACCGTTGTCGGTGTGGTTCGTTTTTATATGTGACCATCTGTAAGTCACTTTTCTACGTTTTCATCCGTTTGCGGGATATACTTGTGTTCACCGTTGTCGGTGTGGTTCGTTTTTATATGTGACCATCTGTAAGTCACTTTTCTACGTTTTCATCCGTTTGCGGGATATACTTGTGAGGTACGAAGTTGATTTTGGCGTGCCTCGTTTGTCGGACATTTATTTCATCCGCAGGTACTGTGACTGTGGAGCCCGGTAGGTTGCAATGTACGATAGGAGGTATGTTCGCATTGATATCTAAGAGATTTGCAAGTGACTCTCTGAATCCTTCTTGTTCGTGCTCAGGATCTTTTCCATGTGGCGTGAGAAGTGATTCCCATTTTCCAACTGTTGGTATAAGTGAATTGATTAATCCTGCTATGTATATACCTACGTATGGTAAAATGTCCATACCGAGAAGTATTGGTGCCTTCTTGTCTGGTAGGTCCAACACTTCAAAACACTGAGAGGATTGTCTTCCTCCATAATTAATGTCACATACTTGGGTTGACCCTGTTCTTTGTATTCTGGCATATGTTTGTGCTAGTTGTATATAGCCCGGTTGTGCTCTGACAGAGATGCATAGTTCAGCTACTATACTCCTGTCCATACATGAACGTTGCGCGCCAAAGTCTACTAGTGTATTGATGTCAATGTGTAATCTTAGGTCTCATGATGCGGGAAGTAAGGATAAAGGTTGGTAATCTATATCATTTGCATTTATTAACAACGGTTCTTCATCTGTACTTACATTAAGCCTGTCAGCCAGGTCAATCATGTTTGCGTCCGCCCACCTGTTGTTTCAGTGTTCATCACCATCTGTGATGTCTTCTACCTTGCCGGAGGTAATAAATAATCTTGTACTTGACACGCTCTTCAGCCTGCTTGGCCTGATTCGAAACGATGTGAGTATGGCATCACCTTGCAATAAGAACATGCGCTCCTCGCGCGCCCCTTTCGGTTTGATTTGCTTAGGTGCACCGTTGTCCGGTTTGTGTTGTTTGGTCGTAGTGGTTGTGCTACTCTGAGACTGGCTTTGACTGGATGTCTGCGAGCTGTGTCGCTTGCACTCTCTATACAACCGATCTGCCTGCACCTTGGCTGCTGCTCTTATGGTTGCTTAAGTGAGAGAGTGAAACATATGTTTTATATCGGATAAATGGCCTTCACCTCCATCAGGATGTTTGTCTGCCTTGATGATGGTGTCTACTTTCTTCTGTTGTCCATAGTACGTAAGTGCTTGGTATTTTACGACCTTGACGATTTGCAAGTGTATAGGCTCTTTGTCCCGAGTTGAGGTAACGTTCCTTTAACACGTACAGTGCTGTATGCAATCGCTTTGTGCGCACCTCTACATTCACTGTCTTATTCTGCATGTCATTGAGAAATTTCTCTAACAGTTAGTCTACTGGATGGTGTCTGAGTCTATCGATAATGATTCTATTGAATTGTTCAGGATCTTTACAATGCTTGGTCATCTGTGTTTCAGAGTCTCGTAAATCAATGAGCACTGCCTTGGTCTTCTCCGTTGCATCACTGGAGTCCAATAGATATCTCGCTAGTGTTGGGTACTGACACAGTGGCATAGACTTGGGGCTAAGAACAGGGAAAACATTATTTATTTATTTAAAAAGATAAGTTACAATGTATGTATGTTATAATGTATGGACATATGGCATGGCTCTCATAGCCGTTGTAGTGGTTCGGGAAATATCGATGGGAAGAAGTGGTCAGTGAATTCCCGTTTGAAGCTTGGGCCAAGTGAGTCGACGATGGAGGATATGCGCTGAGTCAATTCGGGCCGGTCTTGCCGTAGTGAACTCTATAATGTCTTCATGATTTTTCATTTTAAAGTAACTATTATTAGGTAGCTTCGGAAATTATGAGATCTCTAGTAGTTTCGAAAGTGCAGGTTCATTTATCTTATTGTCTAAGCGTGAACGCAAGAGTTATAACTCACTGATATACTGACTGATTTGGATAAGTTTATCTTCTTCATCGTTACCACACTCATTAATTGCTAAATCATATCGTCTTCTGAGTACTGTGTCGACGATTGGCATTCGTCGCTCTGACTGTTTGTGTAGAGTGGCTATAGGCACCGGTGCAGTCTGTTACAATTTGGAAAAAAATCTACTAACCAGGACGTGGGTGCCTTGACAGATGCTCTTGTCTATTTATAAACGCATTGCTGAAGCTAGTATGGACATCCCCCCCCTGGTGTAGGCTGACTTGAGCTACTGCCAGGGCTTGCCCCCCCTACCGGGCTACTACTTGCCCCATCCGTACCCACACCACTTTCGTTAGCCCTATACACCCCTCCTCTGGTTGCTGTTGGCA